AGCTAATGTTCTCCCATGTAAACTATCACATAATTCACAATAAAACATGAAAAGAAAGAAAAAAAGAATACTCACTTGTTAAAGTTGGGAAAGACCTATACTGTCCTTCCCTGCCTCGTTCAGAATGAATTGATGTTAAAGTATTACTTTTATCATTAATATATTGGACTCTACAGAATGTAGTCTTATGCCTGTGAACAAATGAGTTTCCAAAATGAACCCTCAGAACCAGACAGGTTTACCCATCTATCACAGGTAGATTAAAGAACTTCAGACTTCTCCAGTTAGCCATCCTTTCTGCTCTTTGCTCATTCCCCTAGCATTTATGTTATGGAGAAACAGAACGGGATGCAGACTAATCTCTAGGAAAACAGGAGGAGAAAGGGCTGAGCTACACATGTCAACTTTCTATTTCTCAAATTACCACTATGGGGGAGGGAGGGGGGACAGGGTATTAAAGAAATGTCTTCACAGGGAAATGCCAGATCAAGGAAAAGAAGTCCTCGAGATCAACCTCAACAAGTCCTCACAATCTACCTTCAACAAGGCCCCACGAGCAACTTAAAATGAACTCTAAGGCAATACATACTGCCTGTATGCATTTTTGGTACAAGATACATATCTAGAAGGGAACATTTGTTGAAAGAAATGACGGGAACAGTTTGATAGAGAGCAGCACACAGCTTTAAATAGATTGATTTGTTGACATGGGGAGAGTTCATGATGAGCTTGAATAGAGGAAAAAGGAAAAATAGGATTAATGTCATGATTCTCACAATAAGGGACATGTGTCATCATCTTCACGAGCCACACATGGAATAGAAAGATGAGATGACACTGTCCCTGATGGAACAAGTTTGCAGGCAGTGAGCTCTGTTGATGCAGTACTGTTGAGGGCTGCTGCTCTGAGGAAAAGGTTCTGGGAATTTAGGAAGATGGCGCTCCTGGTGTTGGGTGTCCTACATTGGTTTTCTCTACCTGACTAATTACTATTTTGATAAATTAATAGTGTTTTCTGGTGTTGCATTTGAAAAAAAATATATTAAAAAAATTTTTTTTTATTTCCTTTTTGTCTGGTCAGCTAAGAGCTATGGATGAGTAAGCTTGATTCATATGACACTTGCTTATAAGTGTTGCTTTATTGAAAATGATTTAAAGTCCTACAGATTCTGAGAAGGTGACTAGGAGGAATAACAACACAAACCTTTAGAAAACAGCAGATAATTCAAAGGTCATACACATCCTTCTTGATTTTGAAAGGCTACGTGTGATTTTTGTATAGTGGATTTTTCTTTCAAAGCAAATTTTTGGTAGGGTGACATTATAATCATTTGTCTCCTCTGAACACACAGAAGCTGGCAGCTGAAATGGGGTGGAAAGAAGGTGGGCTGAGTATTCTAATGAACCGGGTGGATAATTAAGATTTAGGGAGAGTGTGTTAACATTCTGCCTATTAGAGTATACCTTTTATGTTGGTGAAACGTGATGGAGTGGTATGTGCAGTCTAATCCATTACCTACAAGGGGCTCCAAAAAGTTCATGGAAAAATGAAATAGAAAGAGGATGCGTGTTTTCAACAAACTTTTTGAAGGTCCTTGATCTTTTCAAGTTAGATTGGCTAGTTCTAATGTTGATAAGAGATGTCTATCTGTCTGTTTGTCTGCCTGCAGTGTGTAGTAGAGGGTTTGATGTGATTGCAGACAGAAGACCTGGATGACCTCTCAGGGATGCATTTTCATCTAAAAATTTTATTGAGCTATCTGTTTGGTATCTCATAAAAAAAAAATCTCTCTCTCTCTCTCTCTATATATATATATAAAGGAGTCCTGGTATGGCACTGTAGGATAAGCACTGGACCACAAGGTTGGTTTGAATCACAGAGCCAGTGGTTCGAACTCACCAGCTGCTCCTTGGAAACCTAATACAGGGTTGCTATGAGTTGGCACTCAGCAACAACAACAATATGTATAAATGTTGACTACATAGGAAGCATCTCTTAAACTATTTACTGTATTTTAATTTTAAAATAATTATAAAAAAAGAATGTACAGTATTCCGATTTTGCAAAAATTGACAAACAGCTATTAACATTCTTCCTATAAACATTCAGGAACTCTTTTAGAAACCAGGTGTACAAGAACTGAGTAGGGCGGGACCCTATCCAGGAAAGCAGCGACACCAGAGATGGAGGCAGAGATGAGGACATGGAGAGAAGGGAGCAGCTGAGGACTCTAGACTCATGGAAAGAGAAGGGTTGTGTGCTGGAGGACAGGAGGCAGGCTTGCAAAATGTACCCTTTGGTTGGTTGTTTAAATGATTATATATTCCTGAGTGTTTTTGTGTGCATTAAAACAAACAGAACAAAACCACAGTGGGAATAGAAGCAAATACTGTTGAATGATGATGCATGGAGGGGCGGGCTTGCAATCATTGCAATGAAACTAAATACAGTGGGATGAGTGCAAAACCAGTGTTCTCCATGTAAACTATCACTTGATTCACAATAAGAGCACTAAAAAAAATTTTTTTTAAAGAAAAGAACTAAGTAGGAAAGAGCACACCATTACTTGGTGTCTCAGTTAATGTTGTATACAGAAGAGTTGTGATGACTTCCATGAGTAGAAGACATTTGTATCGGTGCCTTGATTATTTTTTGGAGGGTAAAGGTTTGGCCACTGGTACCTGAGAGGGTGACTCTGCTTTGCAAAGTCTGTCAGAGAAATCCTATCTATCTTCTGTGGATGCAGCAATACTTAGGAAGAGCTTGTTTAGCTCCCATTCTTGTTTAGGAAAGGAGCCCTGCTGGTACAGTGAAATAAATATTTGGCTGCTAACCTCAAGGAGCTCTGGTAGCGTAGTGGTTACGAATCGGGCTGCGAACCTTAAGGTCAGCGGTTCGAAACTACCAGCTGTACCGCGGGAGAAAGATGAGGCTTTCTACTCCCATAAAGATTTACACCCTCGGAAAACCCTGTACAGGGTTGCTATGAGTCGGAACCACGGCACATAACAACAACAACAACAACCTAAAGGTCAGCTGTTTGAACTCAGCAACAATTCTGCAAAAGGAAGAAAGTCGGCTTCAGTGAAGGGTGCAGCCTTGGAAACCCTGTGGGGGCAGTTCTACCCTATCCCATACGGACGCTGTGAGTTGGAATCAACTCAATGGCAATGGATTTTTTTTTTTTTTTTTGGTTTCTAGTTCAGGAACAAGGACTAGAAGTTGAATCACATTCCTTGTGCTTCCTAAGGCTCTGATGTGATCACAATGCCAAGCTGCTTGGAAACCTCCCCTTTCTGAGGAAGCTTTGCTGGGAGAGTCTTTAAGGAAATTGTTTTCTTTCCCCAATGTTTTGTCATTTCCTGTGCATCAGGCCTTAATGGATTTTTATTTTGAGGAGAGCGACTTAGAAATGGAGGTCCTGGCCCATGCTTGATTGAGAGTGTGAGTCACATAGATGAACTTCTAAACTGGATTTGGACATGGGGGCTCTTTATCTGTGCATTGAGTTGGAAACTAGAGTTGGCATGGTCTGTTGGCCTTTGTTGGCAGTGCTCACCTTGGTGGTCCCTTCTCTTTATTTTCTCTTTGTGGTCTAAGGTAAGTCTTCAGGTCTTTAAAGTTCCTTCTGTAAGATCAAGAGGGATGCTCAACCATTTTCTAATAGTTTTGTAAGTGTGAAGAGATCTGCACTTTGACAATTTTTTGGAACAGAATAAAACCTCCACCAAGAAGTTACCATGAAAGTTTTTATTCTTGCAAGAAAAGAAATTAATGGTGTAATGCTTTGGCACCTGAAGGAATGGGACCATTTAAAAAATGCATTAATTTTTGCACCTATTCATTTCCAAGTCTTTGCCTCCTTAGCCTCTCAAATGAGATTGCAAATTACTGACCAACTTTTTGCTATTCCTTTCAGGGACACCTGTGTGGTTCTTTGTGAAAATTGCTCCAATTCGAAACGAACAGGATAAAGTGGTTTTATTTCTTTGTACTTTCAGTGACATAACAGCTTTCAAGCAGCCAATTGAGGATGATTCATGTAAAGGTTTGTAATTATGATTTGTACAAATATATTTATGACTCTTTTTTTTTTGGCCTTTAGTTCTTGTTGTAGAGAACTTGAGGTTGCCAAGGCAATCTCAGCACAAAGATCAAGATTTAAACTCTAATTTATGTTGGGTAAAGCACTATATCTTTCTGGAATGCTCTGGGGAAGGAAAAGGAGATGAAAACAGGCTTTACTTAGGAAAGCATTTGAATCCATTTCTCATATTTTTAGATGAACCCTTTCAAAGACAGGCTAGATAGGAGAAGCTAGTTGGACAGCTCTGATATCATCAGAATCTTTTCATGTTTTCACCTGATAGATATCAGTTACCCTAGTGGAGTAACCCTGGTCACGTTCTAACATTCTTGTCATGAATAAACTACTTTAGAGATATCTTGTGTTGCAGTGCTGTCTGGCTCTATGGTAACATGAATTCTGCTACTCTACATTTCTAGAAGTAGCAATGAGAAGAAAATTGAATCCAAAGGAGTGTCAGGCTAGGGGGCATATTACTATTAACGTAACAAAAGTTGGATTGCTAAATAGGCATTCCAAGAGAGAGTAAAAGCATCATGTGAATTGTCTGTCAGGGCTGTGTCTGCTGTAGATATTTAAAATCCCCAGCACAATTGTTGTTGATAATTGTTGTGGACTCATCTCATAGTGACCTTATGTATAATAAAACAAAATGTTGCCCATTCCTGTGGCATCCTCAGAATCACTGATGTGTTTGAACCCATTGTTTCAGCCACGTATCAGTTCATCTCATTAGAGTCTCCTTTTTGCTGACTCTTTACTTTAACAACCATGGTGTCCTTCTCCAGAAACTGTTCCTCCTTGGTAGCATGTGCAAAATATGTGAGATGAAGTGTCTCCATCCTCGCTTCTAAGGAGGATTCTGGGTGTATTTTTCCCAAGACAGATTTATTTATTTTTCTGACAGTCCATGGTTTATCAATATTCTTTGCCAACAGCACAATTTAAATGCATTAATTCTTCTTTGGTCTTCCTTTTTCATTGTCTGATTTTTGCATGTATATGAAACAATTAAAATACCATGACTTGGGTCAGCCGTACCTTTGTCATTAAAGATATCTTTGCTATAAAAAATTTTATCGCACATTTGAACCCTATTACTTATGGGGTTCTGTGGTTAATGCGCTGGACTGAAAGGTTGGTTTGAACCAAAAGTTTGGTAGTTCAAGCTCACCAGCCGCTCCTCGAAAATCCTATACAGGGTCGCTGTGAGTCGGAACTGACTCCGTGGCACTTAATAACAACAACATTTATGGGATCCACAGCAAGATGCTATGTATACTGTTGTTGTTGTTGTTAAGTGCCATCGAGTTGGTTCCGATCCATAGCGACCCTGTACAGGGTTCCCGAGGGTGTAAATCTTTATAGGAGTAGAAAGCCTTATCTTTCTCCGGCGGAGCTGCTGGTAGTTTCAAACCGCTGACCTTAATGTTCGCAGCCTGATTCATAACCACTACGCTACCAGAGCTCCTTATGTATACTAGTTTGTGTCCTAATTTTTAAAAACCATCTGATAGCTGAATAGATTAATTTTAGCTTTCCTTTTGTATTCAAGACTATAGCAAATTCAGTCTCTCAGCCAGAGTCTCAGCCTCCTTAAATCACCCTTTCCCCAAAAAATTTATAATTGCCTGATTTCTGATTTGGAGATTGCTCAGGGTAATAAGGAGTCCTGGTGTGGTGCTGCAAAGTCGGTTTGAATCACTAGGTCAGTGGTTCAAGCTCACCAGTTGCTCCTCAGAAAATACAGGATCACTATGGGTCGGAACTGACTTGGTGGCACTTAACAACAACAACAAAGTAATAAGTATTATATGCTGAAGGATTTACTCATGATTAAATGGCATGTTACTGTTTTGAATGTCCCGTTTCCTTTTGCTTTTGAACTTTTTATTGTAGTTTGGGTGAAAGTTTACACTCAATTGGTCTTCCATTCAAGAATTTACACACATTCTGTTTCTTGACTTTCATGGCAGTTTCCCCAATGTGCCAGCATGCCTCCCACTTCTTTATTCCATCCCTCCTTCTTTCCTGTCTCTTCCCTCCTTTCAAGTTTTGACTTTGGGCATGTGATGCCCTTTTGGTCTTGTGTGGTTGACTTTTTTTAAGGAGTACGGTCCTCACGGGTGTAATTGTTCACTCCGTTGGTCTGTTCATTGCTTGGCTGAATGTTGATGCCCGATGGTGAGTTCCGTTTCAGGCTTGAAGGGTGTCTAAAGGCTGTGGTCTTGGGGTTCCACCAATCTCATTCTACGTTTTGAATTTTCTACGTTTCCCTCCTACGTGTCCAGGATCTTCTATTATGATCCCTATCAGAGCGATGGGTAATGGAAGCAAGACTTCGAGTTTTGTTGATTCTTTCTATTGTTTTTCTGTTTCATTTATTTGCACTCCGTTCTTTATTAGGAGTCCTGGTGTGGCACTGTAGGATAAGCACTGGACCGAAAGGTTGGTTTGAACTGTAAGGTAGGTGGTTCAAACTCCTTGGAAACCCTATACTTGGTTGCTACTAGTTGAACCCACCTCCATGGCACTTAACAACAACAACAATCTTTATTATTTATTTTCTCTGGTAACTCTAGGCTTTCTTTGCTATTCTTTTTTAAAAATTGTTGGAGTTGTTGGGTTAAGGTGTTGAATTTGGTTCTTTCTTCCTTTTTGATGTGTGTGTCTGTTGCCATAAATTGACGTCTGAGCAATAGCTTTGAGTATGTTTTATTTTCAGTCTTATTTGATTCTGGATATTTAAAAAAATTTCTTCTATAAACCCCTAGTTGTTTATAAGCATGGTGTTGTTTGGTTTACATGTATTTGATTTTTTTCTTGTTCTTCCTGTTGTTGATTTCTAATACGATAGCATTGTGATCTAAGAAGATGCTTTGTACTATTTTGATGTTTTAAAATTTATTGAGGCTTGCTTTGTGACCTAATCTATGGTCTATTATGGAGAATAATCCATGTGCATTGGAAAATAATGTATATTATGCTTATTGTTGGGTGGAGTGTTGTACATACGTTGTCTTTGAGGTCAAGTTGGTTGATTATGTTGTTTAGGTCTGCTTTATCTTTGTTGAATTTCTTTCTAATTGTTCTAACCTTCAGGAAAAATGATGTATTAAGGTCTCCTACTATTATTCCTCTACCACTTGTCTGTCAGTTTGTCACACTGTGTTGGCTTGTGAGTTGCTGTGATTCTGAAAGCTATGCTGCCAGTATTTTAAATACCAGCAGGGTCACGCATGGTGGACAGGTTTCAGATGAGCTTCCAGACAAAGACAGACTAGGAAGAAAGAGTGATGAACTGCTTCCGAATACTTAGTCACTGAAAACCTTATGAATAGCAGAGAAATACTGTCAGATATAGTACTGGAAAATGAGCCCCTCAGGTTGGAGGGCAG